AAGAAATACATTGAAAACTGTGTTTTCAGATTTTATATTTAGAGGCAACTTATAACTAACTGCCTTTTTGGGTATTATTTAGAAATACATAGTACTAAATTGTAGAAAATTATATTCTCTATCAGTAACTTACCTTCCTCTTTGCTTGATTTCCCAACCGTTTAAAAGTTACTACTTAGCAAAATAGCTAAGCAGCCTCCGAATTTATAGTGGGGAGAAAATACTGAGTTAGAGATATTTTTGTTAAACTTGGTACAACCAAACAGTTCTACAGAATCGATTTTGTCAATTGATGGGTTGTTAAAAAGCATAATTCGTGTAGATTTACAAATAATTATGAAAGTTTACTTTTGTTAAACTTTCCCTAGAAACCATTGTATTTAACCACAATGGTATCTGTTGCTAGTTTGTAATAATATACAATATTTATAAAAAGGCTTAATATGGCTAAGCGTTGTAAAATAAGAAGAAACCTATAAAAAGCAGAATAAAGTATGTTTCCTATTTATCCATCAAAGCCAAACAATACAAACGTTAAACGTTGATATTCGAATTGACATAAATCTGATTTACTCAATCGTTCTGTCCCTTTCATTCTATCGTTATTGATCAACGCTACGGTCTGCGGTTTCGGAAAAAATTCCTTTGTCGTTATATAATTACGAAAGTGGATGAAACAGTACTCTCCAAATAACTAGCTAACAGGGATGACATATTTTAGCATTATTTTTAGTTTTCCTAAGATTAAAGCATTAAAAAAATAATTCGAGTGAGTGTAAAGATAAATATTATTAAGGTTTTAAAATGCTATTAAAAACCTTTTTTACCTGTATTGCATTTTTTAAATTTATTCCCTGTTTATTCCGTAATAATGTATGATGTATAATGTAAAAAATAAACATATATACAGCCATCATGAACATTCAATCGACTTCTTTAAAAATGATTCACAAAAAATAAATAATTTAATAAAAGCCAATGGATTTTTTTTAATACAACTATTAAATAATAAATAGACATATTTTATATATTGAATACAACAATTCTAATAAAATAATGCCATAGGTAATGTTGTAACTGTTATGATCTATTGTTATTCTCAGTCCTTATTGTGGTAAGGTTATTTTTATATTGGCTTTAACGACAATTATTTACCTTAGATACTTGAGTGATGGAGTAACTTATGCTTATTTTAGCTATTTTACTGTTATCCTATACACATATTTCACCACTAGTGTATATGATATATCTTCATGGATCTTAATATTTTCGTTATAAAGCTTGGCGCTCACTGGGTCGGTACTGGATTTTTCAAAAGTTAAAAACAATGAATCAAATGTGCATATGCACCCACTGCGTCGTCACTGACGTTAACAGCATACATGTAACTCTTAAGAATAAATTGAAGTAAAATTAAAACTAAATTCCACTCATTAGCTGTAAACTCACTTCATAGTCCTAACATTACCTATTTAGAAAAATTATTGTTCAAAAGATATTTTTTGATTTAATTTAATTCTTGACTTTAAAAATGTATACATTTATAATCAAGAAGGAAATATTGTCAAGAATATATTGAACTGTATACTGAATTACTTTACCTATGATGACCCGTTTTACTAGTTACCTAAGTTTAATTTATAACTTAGGTTATGATTAAAGGTTTTTGTATTTTTTCTCAAAATAACCACCAAAGTAATATTTTAATCGTTCAAGTTTGTGTATCCTGATGATGTTGTGTTGACATCAAAACTCGTAGTCCATTCTTAGAGTAGAATATAATTAAGATCAGATATCGTAACCTTTTTTAAATTTATCTCAACGTGATAAAGAATAAACAATACAGCACTTTGCGTTCCTGATACACATAAATTGTACCATCAATCAACTGTATCACCAATTAAGTGGGTAGTTCACGCAAAAACGGCCTAAAAAAAAGATTTTTATGAAAAATTATTTTTACATTTTTTAGTTTTGTATTTAATGCTGAAAAAGAAAATATGAAATATAATACCAGAAGATTTTTTAAATCATGAAATATAATTTTTAAAATTTACAATTCATGGTTGTTTTTTTACCTCAGAAGCCAGAGTAGCAGCAGTAGGCATAGACTCATCTTAGTCATTTTATTACCTTTTCCGAAAGTTATGTTTTTATCTTAGAAATAATAAATCTCAGCATCTTGATAAGATAGAGTAATGATTTTTTCAGCTTGTAAAGCTCTATGATTTGTTGTATGATTATGAAGATTAAATAAATATAACATATTTTTAATATTAAATTTTCCAAAAATGTTAACGTGAAAACAAGTTATAACATTTCAAAGTTTTTGGGGCATTTGTATATAAGTAAACCCATAATAAAGGTTATGAAAAATACTTCAAGGAATATTTAGAAAAGAAAATTACTTAACTACCATTTATAGATTTTAATCTGTACGCAATCTTGTGAAACCTTGCAAATCGTGCAAAATCCCCAGCCCCCTAGGGGGAAAAAAACCCAACCCATTTTTTTTGTTTCCATAGTTATATGGAATACCCAGAAGTTTCAATATTTTAGACTAATAACTAAAGATTTTGAATTTGTTTATGAATAAGTGGGTTTCACGTTATAAGGAGATTTGTCCACACAAAAAATTAACTTTAGGAATACATAAATGTTCTCTAGACTAGACGTGCTTTGAATAAATCGTAAAATGCAATCCATAACTAATAATTGGTAAATTGAGATCAAAGTTTCACTCAAGATATGGAACTGAAAGGCTGAGGTCGTGTTCAAGAGTCTTAAAACCTTATAAAACATGTTTTTAAGTGAATAAGTATTTACTTTGCTTAATGTAGATAGATTTTTTTTATTTGCAAAGTATTTACATTGCTTATAAATATAGATAGCAAAATTTAAATATTAGCAAATTAATAATAGTAGTTAATTTTTTTACGTATTACTCGTTATTCATTACTGTTATGTGTATGAAACGCATCGGGGTATAAGATTACAAATCACAATTGTGATTAAAACTCTCTAGCGGGTCGTTTCTCATTTTACTTGACTCCCTTTAGTTTTAATAAAAGAGCAAAAGTTTATAATTATTTACTTCAGTATTAACTTCAAAATCTACTTTTTACCCATAAAACTATATGCTTGATCAACACTATCCAACCGTGGTCATCAATCATCAACTGAATAATAGATTAGTTCTTACAACAAATTGTTTTAGTACATGTACACATGTAAAAACATTGTCAAAATACAGATTAAGATCTATTTTTTATTGTACGATCCTTTGAAATTCTTTGAGCTATATCTTCAACGAAAGAGGTATAACAAAAGAAGAGATATAAGAGGTATAACAAAAGAAGAGATATAAGAGGTATAACAAAAGAAGAGATATAAGAGGTATAACGATAGAGCTTAATAGAATAGTTTTACATCTATACCAAATCCTATCTAAAGAAACTGTGTTGCCCGATTAAAAAAAGATTAATTCACTATAATGATGGATTCAGCATCGTTTCCACCAATAACTTTACTAAAGAGGCAAAGTTATGAGTATAATGTGATTTTACATCTAACGAGTGGGTTTTATTTTTATCTCATGTTGTATTTATACCATCATTGCCCTTGCAGAAATATTATTCTTACATGAAAGTGGTGTGGATGGAAAGCTCAATATCCTGGACTTGACGATGACAACCTGTTATATTTCAATACAGGAAACGCATCCAGAAGAAAACGGCTATTATAAAAACTCCAAATCCACCGGCTCGGCAACCAGCCCCAAGTACGTTTTCTGTGCCCAAGTGGAGGTAGATGGTTGCATTGCAATAGTTCTTCAACGATCAACTGATGGCAGCACTAGCTTAGCAGTTCTGGAATGTCCCTATATTGCCTGGCGCTCCAGTTTTAGACATATCTACGAAAAAACCCTATCTAGAATATACCTATTCAAAGGGAGTATATTTTAAGAAAAAAGGACTGGGAGCTTCTAGAGAGAACACGGATCTCAGTTTTTGGAACACCGTTGGAGATCGCCTACGTAGATGTCTCAGGTAACCTGCTGGGCTGTTCATGCTGAAATCGAGGTGGATCTCAACATGGTGTTTTTAATGTCCAGCTGATTGTTCAGAACTTTGAGCTGGTGTTTGAATTCCTAAAGATACAATATCTCAGGAGTTGTTTGGGAAACATTTCCTCAAAAAATGAACATCTATTAAAGTGTTGTCTTTAGTTTGCTTGGCCTCGGGAATGCAGGTTCACTTCAGGTGAATTTCTTCGGTCTAAAGCATAGAACTTCGGAAAAAAGGGGTTGTCACTAAATTTTTGAAATTGCGGTACAGTAAAATTATGTACATTTTGTTTTCAATGTTTCATATCATTATAGTCAAGGTGATTTCCATGTCCATAAAGGGTAAAAATTTTAAATTATTGCAATTCCCAATAACTAATTATTAGTGATTGCATGTTTACTATTCAGTTGTTGTCATTGTTGTTTATTGAATGTTTCACATATTAGAAATTCTTAGGATAATGTCTAATTTTTACTCCATGCTATAACATATTCCTTCTTGTACATAATTAATTAAATACAGTTTAATGTGAATGCATAATTGTTTGTATTTTTTTTGTTTATGATTTGTTATGTATTTAAAGATTCTAAATCATGCTGACTGTTGAAAAATAAATAAATACATCTTTCCAACTAGGTCGAATGTTAACCAGTGAGACAGGTAAAAATCAATGGTAATTTAACATAATTTTTTTTTGTATATTTATCACAACGTATAAATTGACATTATAATTCATTCTAAACTCGTCAGTGTTTTAAGGCATACTTAAATAATAGCCCCAAAAAGTAAAATATTAATATGGTGCTACTTTTTGGATACGTGGTAGCTCATAACTATACTGTTGTTTTAAATTGCTTATGGTTTAGCAAACAGAGCCTCTATTAACACAGAAGTTTAAATAAGTAGGGATTAAATAATTTACAACAATTAAGGCATACGAGTTTCTTAAAAATATATTTTTACATCTCTTACAAAATAACTTCCGTATATATAGTTCCTTTTACAGTAAAAACACGTTGTTGACAAATGGGAGCAATGTCTTTGAATGAAACTGGGGTAGAATAAGCAAAAGGTCCACATTACAATCGTGGATGTCGCAGATGCATTTTCAACCTTGTGCGTCTTTGTTAAAACAAAATATTGCTGTAAAATATTTGGTTTGAGCTAAAAGAACGATTAAAAGGAAATAAGGTTAAATTATAAAACATACAATTGAACATGGTAAAAAATAAATTTAGAAAACAATTACACAATAAATTAGCTATATAAACGATATCCCGAGTACACTTAACATTAAGACTGATGATGAGTTTGTTGTTCTGATGATGGTTATGATGACTTTTGTGAAGGGGTCAGTGGGTAACGATGACGTCAGGAGCTGACTTTGTAGACTGAACGCTGAAGGGGCGATCACTGCTCTTTGCGCTGTCCGTCCGTTTGCTTAATTCAATGACCGCCTCTGCTCGAAATCGAGGCTCTGCGCTGGTCTTTTGTTTTGTTTTCCCGAACGTGGTGAACCCTGGACTTGCAGTCGATCTGGGAGTTGACCTACGTGATTACGTTACATTAATAACCCAATACAAGTGTTAGTTATAGTCCACGCAACGATTGAGTAAAAATAGTGTTAACGACACCAGTAGAAAATTTAAGGTACGACCCTTGGCGAGTGCCTTAAAAACGTCTCAAGTTGCATACACTACTTTACCTACGACAGTGTTTGAATTACTAAAAATCCCTATTCAAAACTTCCAAGAGAGGTTATGTTTTCGTTTAAAACCTCTCATTGCCACTGACAGTGATGCAACAAAACATTGTGCCAAACACTAATTGCACCAATCAACAATTAAATTGGCCTGAACAGCTGATTAGTTGAAGTTGATTATCCTTTAACATATGAACTTGTGTTGTTTACTTGTACGTAAATTTAAAACATTTAACAGTTGAAGAACAGTCTGTATAAAAAATATAGCCTATGTTATGGGTTTTTAAACATTTCTACTTCTATTCTGTCTTATAAGGTTGGCAGCTTTGATTAACCTTGAATTCGAACGTCTCCATGTGCTTTTGGCCTTTACAAGGAACCTTTCAGGCAAAGCTATGAGTGAGCTATATTAAGGTACAGTAAAAGAACGACTATTCTGATGGGTTTAGTTTTGGCCCTGGGACGTAAACTGAAGACATCACTTCCATAGTCACTTCACTGAGTCACCGACTCACCAGGTCTTCCAACTAAAATGTTAACTTTAAGATCTTAAGATCTCTAAAATTATTGCGTGCAATATCTTTAACATTACATTAATTGTTGTGATCTGTTCTTGTTCTTTGTGATCTGTGACATCAATAAGAACAGATTTTTATGTGCAAACCATGTTTTCCCTTCACTAAGTCTCTCGCCCTCACCTAGGAGGCCTGGACGTCGGTGGTGGTGGAGGAGGTGGTGGAGTGAACGAGTCTCCCCCAGAACTGTTAGGAGTGAAGCTGGCCATGTGGAACAGACTCTCCCTGGTTTGGCACTCCGAGTCCCGCATCTGGCAACACGAATTCAACTATTAAATATGGAACCTAGCAGCCTTAACAAGAACTTGTGTGGTGTGTTTCTAGCCGAATGGTTAGTGCCTGAGACTAATGTGTGTGAGAGATAGGCTCTACCCTGCCATGTCCACAAAGATTGAGTCTGTCCACTCTTTGATTAGGATTGCTTCTCCGTACTACACCAAGGTAAATATTTGATTGAGTATTTTCTAGTGATATTTATTTTGCAACATGAAGCATTATCTAGGTTTTTAGAAACAAATAGCATTTTTAAGTTATGCGCTCTCGAATAACTACTTGTTTTCAAGTAAGCACAAAGCTTTTTTGTTTATGAAAAAGGTGAAACTTGATCAATACGTACTGGGTGATGAGCTTACTAGAGATGGGTATTTACTCAGGGGAGGTATAGAAGAGGCTACGATGACAGCTGAGGGCTTCTTATTAGCTGAGGGAACGCCATTACCGTAACAAAACGTTCAACAGCCATCGGCCTCGGTGGTCTATTGGTTAGCGTGCCGGGCTGATATACGATAGGTCCCGGGTTCGAATCCTGCTGGTAGCATTAACTTTTTGTCCAAGATTTTTTTATTATCAGCAAGTTTGGTTGGTTTGGTTTGGTTATTACAGTTTAATTTTATTATTAAGTAATTATAAAATTTTAATTAAACAATTTCTAGTTTTATTTAATAAAAATAATTATTTTTCCGATTACTAAACTTTTGTTATATTATTTCTTTATCAGCAAGTTTGGTTAGTTCGGTTAGGTTATGATAGTTTAATTTTATAATTAAAAAATTGTAAAATTGAATTTGAGGCATTTATAATTTTATTTTATGAACAGAACTATTTTTGCGACTAGTAAACCTTCATTGCCAAAGTGCTCTCTACTACAGCGCTGTTCACGGAGGAATTTTGAACTAAATGCCTCATTTGTACCTCCCCTAAGTCAGACCCATAGAGATGTTCTAAAACTGAAGTTGTATTTAGCCGTGGATAGGTTAGAAGCTGTGGCATGAGCTGAAGGTTTTTAGAATGGTGTGTGCTGCTAGATACAGACCTAGCACAGCTGCTGGTCAGTGGTCAGGGAATGGTTGTTTATTTTATTTGTTGAGGAGTTTCGGCGGGTTCAGCGATAACGTAGGATGGTTGAATTGTTGATGTTGGTTAGGTTGGTTTAGAAAGTTTGTGATTTGGTCAGGTGAGTTTGGACAAATGGGAAAACTCTTTTAAAACAATCGTTGAGGATTTAACTCATCGCTGAGTTGCAGGCATGGTCGAGTTACTTCAGGTTGAGATAGTCGAGGAAGTTTTTGGCTAAGGGTACGGAATTGAGTTTTTGCGCCTGTACTTCGGTTTATCTAGTGCACAATTTTGGAGCTGACAATAAGACATGTTTGCGGTAGCTTATGGGTTTAAAGGTTTAGTTTACTGCTGTCAAGAGGATTGGATGACATTAGGTAAGAGTGGTTGAATAGTCAGGGCCGTTTTTAGAAATGGCTCAGGTTATCCAACCAATTTAAGCACAATATTAGGTTTGTTGGGGATGCAAGGAAGAGAAAGAAGCCCTTATGTAGGTTGAGAGGGGTGCAATTATCTCCCGGGCCCATAGCAAACCAAATCACATGCAAACTACTGACATGAGGATAACAGATTATCACAACATTGCAAAGCTTGCGGTGTAACCAGGACGGAAGAGGTTGCTGTTGCTCACTTCAGGGAAGTGTAGGTCCAGACTGCCCGAGTTCCGCAGTATAGGCAACAGCTCCGTGTCCGGCACGTAACATTCAGCACGTTGTGAGATGACGCTGCTGTCTGTACTGTGACTGTGGGAGGTTGGTAGCACCGTCACGCTGGAAACAGGTGGTTTGCCCATTCCTAGCTCGTTCAGACGAGAAGCTCTGGACTCGGCCATTTGTTGCTGCAAAACACAAAAATAGTAAAACTGCATTTACTAATGAGAAATATACGATGGAATATTACCTAAAAATTAAAGAAAACGATGTGCTTCAGAAAAATCTGGATTGCCAAGTTCGACTATATTCTAAATATAACCGGGTACCATCAACAATAGATGAAATAGTGTTTCAGGAACATCTGGACAGCAGAGTCCAGTTCTTTTCTCTGTGGAACTCAGCGTTTCAACACCAATTGCTAATCAGAGGTGCGTTAAATATTGAATGCAATGGTATTGATCAACCACTGTTCATGTTACTGTCCCAGCACTAAGTGTGTTGCGGATTATGTAGTTAGCTTAGTGATCAGTGTTTAAAACTTCATTGCAAGTGAGAAGGGTTCGATCACACCCAAAATAATCCCATGAGTAAAAGAAACTGTTTTTATAAAGCATGTAGAATTAGCTCATGCAAGATTCACACTGACAATAGGTACATTACAAGGTTAGTTAAATTGTATATAGTACTAATTTTAAGTAATCAAGTATTTGACTTAAAACTCATCAAACACATGAAATCTTAATAGAATAAAAATGAAAAATACGTACAATTCAAAGTACGTAAGTATAATTTTTATTTCCCTCGTAACAAACCTTTATAATGTGGTGGTCCCTGATGAGTTTTTTGCTGCAGTTGTAGATGAAGGTGGAGCACATCCCAGTAAGGATGATGAAAAACAAAGCCACAATAGCAATCATATGCGTCTCTGCAAACAGCTTCCCCAACACACTTACGTGTTCCTGGACAAAGAAGTAATTTTGTAATCCTTGCAACCAGGAACACTGTGATAACATGTAGGAATGTAAGAAATGTTGGGTTATGTCAGTTAAAGTAATTACCTATAGCACACCCTGAGGTAACAAGTTTAATTGTTTGTGTTATGAATGTGTTAGACGCAATCGCTGTGGTGATGGAAACCAATTAAGTTTGGAACTATGCTTGAAATTGCATTTACTTTATTAAAACATCGACCGCGAGTAATTTCATTGAAACATCAATCTAGGTTGTGTAACTAAGAGAAGCAATTTTGTGACAGTAACGCAATCTGTGAGAGTCTGATTTAAATATGTATTTTTATAGTTACAAAAAAAGTAACATATAGCTATCCTAAATAGATGGAATGTTAACTGTAGTATCAAGCAATAACTGAGCATAGACAAAAAGACGGGCAAACTATCATATGTTTTAAGGTACCCAGCTTGCATCCTGCATGAGAGTAAATGTTCGTGGTTTTTTTACTAACGGGGCCTGTAAAAAACTACTTAGCGATCCGATTAAACTACCTACATTTCCGATTTATATTTTTTTATTTGTCTTATTGGGAGTTGAAATATAAAAGTGGTTTTTTGAAAACAAATCTAAAAATAGAGCTATAATAGCCATTATTCAACTATTTAAGTAACAAAAATGTTATTTTAAATAACTAATTCGACTTAACATCCTTTTATAGGGGTTAAAAAGTAATTAATATGTATATTAAAATAGTGGGGTTGTTTTGTTTTCTAAAACGATTTGAATGCATTTACTAAATTAATTTTAATTTTACGAACTTTTTAAAACGTACGAATTATGTCATAAATATAATTACTACTTAATTGAAACTATTGGGTAATCTAGCCAATACTTTCCTTGCAACTATATTATACTAGGTTACAGTATTTAGATTTCCAGTGATACCTGGCGCATTTCACCTTCCATTATCTCTACACCGTAATTTTTAACGACAAAAACTTACAATACAAACTTCTTCCTTGTCCTCATCCCCTCTATATCTACAGTTTTCATTTTCATTGCACTTGAGTTCTATAGGAATGCACGTAAGATCTTCACAATCAAACTCGTCCTCGGCACATTCTGCAACATATCATTTTATAATAATTTCTTGTCTTCATTAGACGAAATAGAACAGTTAGGGTATGTTTGTGCGTGGCTTCCATTTGGTTACAGTTATGTGTTACTTTCTAACTTATCGCCATTTCAATATTCATAAATTTGTAAATGGAATATTACATTTTTTAATAAAAAAAATCCAGCATTCAACGGATACTTTCTTTATAGTTCATGTTTTTCTTTTACTATTTAACCGCTTTAGTTGCTGTAACTACAAATAAACGATTGTCCGCATTAGAGGTAAAATAATCATTTTTGTTATTAAATTCGTATTTGTAATATTGGTTTTAATATAACCAAAGAATACATATGCATGTAATCTTTGATATAACTGATATATATAAATTAAAATAACGGAAGGTAAAGTGGTCTATACTGGCTCCTGAGGATATCAGTCTATCCTGATCCTTGAGACTATGGTGATTTTTTTGTTTTTATTTTCTCTTTTTTGTTTCTTGATAATTTTAAAAGGATTTTTTTTCTCTTAATAGTCCTTGTTGCCGAGACGTTCTAACTCGCAAAACAATTAAAGAACAGCAAAGAACATTTCTAATCCAGAGTATAATAAACATTTAAATTACCCTGGCGTTTGAAAAAAAAAATTGAGATGGTAAATTATCTTCAGTTGCTGTTTAAAATTAACGAAATTAACATTGCTCTTATGGCGAACAAATCCATGATGGTCGTTAGCATGATTGGACACCCTTGGAGAACAATTTAAAACTATAAAGAACATTTCTAATCTGACAGTATACAAAATATTTAATTGTAAATACCTTTGGTGTTTGGAAAAATATTTTTAGACGATAAATAACTTAACTCTTAAGTAGCTGTTTGAAATTATCCAAGATAGCTGATAGCCTCCAAGGACTCGTTAATATTTACTTCATATCAATCGCCATCATCATCGAGAAGCCAAATAATTAGCAGTAAAATTTAACTTACGCTCGTCTTTTTTGATCTGGCGGAAGGCTGTCCACAAGATGGCGAAGGAGGAGTTGAAAGCCTTTGGTTCCGCGACGAATCGGATATGGGAGACATTACTCATGACTATGGTGGTCTTAGCAATGGACCCGCAGAACTGGCTGACTCTGGCAGGGAGTAAAGTGACGTTGGGAAACACTTCGATGTAGTTGGAGTCGCATTCATTTGGCTTGTCCATCTTGTAGTGGATAAACTGTAGCTGCAACTGAAAAGTTAATTTTATTTTTATGATTAAGAGTATCCGAAAATTGTCTACAAAGGTACAATAATGGCACACATTGTTGCCTTTCATATAAAACTCAAATATGCATACCCCGACATAATAGATTTATAACAAATAAATAATCTTATGAGATGAAAATAGTTTAAAAATACAGAAGCCCACAATTCAAACTACCTAAGTAATATTTTAATTTTGCTCGGAACAATATTATTATTAAAAATATAAATAATAGGATTCTACACTTCATAGAAACATAAACACACAATAAAACTGTGGAGATAGGGTACACAATAACCACTAAGCACTCCAAGCACTTTTTATTGTTTTGTTAACAATACTAAAATAATACTTCCATACCATTATATGTTCACTGACTGTATAAAATCATATTTTAAAATCCTTTTGAAAATAGGCAATTTTTTTACTATAGTTTTTGTTTGGAACAAATCTGGTACTATGACCGTAATTGGTTCTGAAGTTATGTATTCCTAAAATAATTTAACAGTTATCATAATCATGTTTGGTTATAATAATTGGATGTAAGTCAAACAATTTGTTTCTATGGCCTTTTGTGAACCACGTGATACTAAAAAATTTCAAAAGTTTCCTGCATGCAAAAACAATAATTACCAATTTCTATAACCGCCAGTCACACAATGCTGTTTTTAAGTTTATAATTATGAAATATATTGCAAATTTCAATTAGTTTTTTTATATTTTTGTAAAATAATTTTATAACAATATTTTTTTTCTAAATTTGTTAACTCAGTTTATTATTGAAAACCACTTAAAAACTAATTAACGATGTGTGTTTAGGACGGGTTAACTTTAACCCTCAAGGTAATGTGTTATCTTTGTAGCTCCAAACTTACACTGCAGCATCCCACAAGTATGCGTCTCCTTAAACTTTAAGAGTCTGTTGCACAAACTGCTTCGAAACTATACTAAATATTAATAATGCTGTAAGCTATGAAATAAAACCTTACGACTTGAAGACTACGATTACATTTCTTATTTTTTATACTAAGGAATTGTGTGATTTGTCTACCTCAAGAAAACTATCGTTTAGTTTGACCTTGGGTTAGTTTATCCCGATAATATATCTATCAATTTTTCTAATTTAGAACTTACAAAAAAATTGCCTCTAAATGACAGTTTATCTTGAAGAATTGTTGATTACTAAGAATTTAAGACTCATAACGGGGATGTGATATAAAATTAAGCTATCTTAAAATAGTTATTGTGAGGAATGTTCAACAATCCACCACGATCTAGATGTGCGAAACAGTCTCAATTACGTTGAGATGTGGAATTCTATCATCAAACATTTTGAAAAAATATAAACTATTCTATTGTGGGCAAATTAGAAGGAATTTAGTTTTTTTAAGTGTTTTGAAAGTTGAATAACAACAGAAAAGGCTACACGTGATCCATCCCATTTAAAGTATAGCCATATTGTGTATCATGGTTGCTGGGCTTTCAATGTGTTGGCCATATACAGCTGATCTCAGTCAGTAACAATGCAACACAAATAATCTCAAACTCCATTTTTCACCTTCACGCACATCTTAACTATGATTGTGTTATTCATATTGGAGCAATGTTAAATTTTAAACATTGTCTGTTAGTAATAAACACTTGTTGCTTAACACTTATTACTGAGTGTGCATCATAAATTCAGATGGAGATGCAACCATGTTTAAACTTAGTTACGCGTGTTTGGTTGATTTAGTCTTCAGTGAATCGGGTAATATGCCGGATTGAGGGAAAATGTTATTTTACTAACCAAGACCAGTTTTTTTTTTTATTTTTTAGATTCGTTTATAGATCACTGTTAAGGCCCAATCAATATATAATCAATATTCAACTTTTATTATATACTATACAAACACAAAGAAGAAATTAGAAACATATGTTATCAAGCACCAAAAAAACTACTACAAAGATTACAATATAAATAAAGACCTGAAATGAAGTGAGTGAATTTCTTGAGTTATTTTCAATTATTACTTTCAAACAAAACTTTATTTATTATTTACATTTAAACAAAACTTCATTTTTATCAACTTATCAAAAACAAGCACAATAATCAAATTCAGTTAAGTCGAAAATGTGATATATGGTTTTACATAAAAATAAACTAATGCCACACCATTTGGATGGAGTTTTCATCTAAATGTTTGATCACGTATTGCTTTTGCCTAATCATCATGTATTGTAGCTGTAAAGCTATTGCCAATACTTCACCATACTTTTTACCCAACTTCCCAGTATCTCAAGATTCACTTACATTCCAGCCCGGCTTGACGCTGATGATGAACATGCAGTCAAGCTTCTCATTGTACATCTGGTGCTGAACCAAGGTTTCGTTGCTGATATCAGTCTTGTTCACCCAACCTTCCGAGCCGTTCTTGAAGAACAAGCAGGGCTCCATCTTATGCATGCTTTGGTCCGCTGCAAAACATCAAAGAACACATTAATGACGATAAAACTGGTATTTCACGACTAAAAACTTAGTTCAAAAATAAGAAGGGCGAGGCAAATGACATAAAAATTATCACACAGTTCACTCTGGATAGTTATCTCTGGATTCCTCATAGGACAAAATAGAAGTTCTTACCTCCGTCTTTGGACAAAACTTCCTGAAACAATTAAAAACATTCAAAATTCTAATTTTTTTGCTACATTAGCAGCATTTTCAATGATTGAAACAATTCAAAACATCAAAATATAATATAATTGGAAACTAAAATTATACAAAGCAAAACCAACGTACATGTTGTAAGTTTGAGTTGTTGGTTGTAAGTTGTTGAGTTTGATGTTGAGTTATATATTTTATCTCAATGTTTTGACGTAAAAGAAATCCTTTGATAATTTTTCAACAAAACTAGGGTTTTTTCTGATAAGGATATCCCTACAGGTGGAGGAATAGCTATTTACATTACAAGTGTAGTAAGAGCGTTTTTACATCACGCAAGTGAATGTTGTGCAACGAGCGGAAGCGAGTTGCATAAATCACCTAAGTGATGAAAAACACGCTCTTGCGTAACGTGTAACTTAAGCACTCAATGTTATTTAAATGGGTTTCATTACCTCACCGAGTGAGTTTTTTTCAACTTTACATCACTCGAGAAGTAAGGAAGTTGTATACATCACGCTTGTGATTGGGAAGTTTAACATGGCGGGTTAGGTAAAAGAGTTTAATTCATTTTTTTTTCTTGATTTGACCAAATTAAATTACGGTTTAAACAATTTTCTATTTGTGGTCTAACTGAAACCAAAAACTCTTACAGACGTCTGACGCTATATTCATTAGACTTTTTTATGTCTTTACTTTCTATGGTGCTAGGTTCTAGTCCGCAACTGTTTTACACATTACTTCAGGCTAGTCCTAGAGGGTCACGGCATTATCATAATTTCATAATCATTGGATCGGCGGGATTTGAAACCGGGACCCCGGGCTCAAAGCTCTACCACTAGACCAGCTCGCTCATCTACCCATTAGTTTAGAGGTGATCAAATTAGTATATGTTTTATCCAATAAGTTTCAATAAATGAGGATAGTTGATACGATGGATTTTATTGAAAGGAATAATAAAAATATTGCATTGGCAATTAATTGATATCATTTTAATACATTTATATCGAGTATTGCCTTACGATTTTAAAAGTTTAAATACATTTCTAGGTAATGTTGAGGGCAGGGAGAGACCATGATTGTTATCCGCTGGTCTGAGCATCACGTAGCCCTTGTTACTTAGATAACTTGTCCAATTACTAGAATTTCTTCAACTCTGGATCCTCTGTAACCCTTCTTTTGACGTCATGTATCTCAAATATAATGAGAATAGGATTCTTATCGAAAAATAAAAATGTGCTTCTACTTATAAAAGACAATCGCACAGGATTTATCAAATAATGTAGATACTGTTATCAACTTCTAATTAGATATTTGGTAAATTTAAGGATCATCATCAAAACAATATGTAACATTAGCTGAAACACTTGGACTAATTTCAATAAACATTCTACCTCTTATGAAACTGTATACTACCAGCCTTTAAGATGTTATAAAATAATAATGATATTTTCATATGCATTCAAAATGTAACATCTTCTGTGCAGCATTGTAAGGGTATGAGTTAATTAAGGTGTATGAATACACTCAGCACATCAATTATTGTTATAAAATTCAGTGTGAGAAGTTGAGTTCAATCCTTGGCTTGAGGGTTTTGAAAAGCTTTGCAAATTTTTGTTTAATAAATTTATTATATAATTCCTTCTAAAAATACTCTTTACTAAATGAAACGTTAAAAACACTCACTTATAGGTTTGTCTATGAAGGTGTAGACTGCCTTGAAGCCCGAGTACTCTATGCTGTCGTCCGACACGAACCGCAGCCACAAGTATCGGTCGGAGCTGGTGATCATGTCGGGGAACGTATTCCCGCAGTAGGAGCCTATCAGGTAGCTGTAGCCGTGGAGGCCGTCACGAACCTCGAGAGAGTCAAACTTGCAGTCGGGGTCTGACTCCATCATGAACTGGTCACGGAAGTCCATCCTGATGATCTTTCCTTCTGGAGCTGAGGACATAACAAGTAAAACACTTAATTAAGTGTCTACCTGACACTTTGGCATATTTTAATTAGCCTTGCTCTTGAATAGGACCAAGTCATAAAACATCCCCGGTGTAACCCAATGAAACATAACGCAAGAAGAGCCTTGGAGTCCACTTGTACTGTATAGGATCTTTGATGTACTCCAGTCATATGAAATAAACAGGAATTAGACGTATGTTGTACATGTCTTCGATATATGGTACAAGGCGCAACTCTTGAACACGAAACCACTTTTGGTACCCTTTTGGAGTTTATTCAGTAGACGTTGTCCATCTTTATGTACATGTAGGACATCTATAAAATGAAGTACACTGTATAATATAGTTATGAACCCCTCATAGAATAATAATGTACTATTCGAATAAATATTTGTGTATTCGAGGGAAATAAGTAATTGTCAAAGGACTCTAAAGTGGCTCAACTAAACTACGATTATTTCAAATCTGAAACTGACCCCAATGTTAACGTAGGAATGTCTGTTTTGGTAGTCTAAATTGACATTTAACCAAATTTCATAAAAGACCATGCTATTCTAAAAAAACAACAGATTTTGTCTACTAATGTATATTCCAGAAAACATGCTTGCATGTAGAGCAACACGTATAATATCACAGTTAACTATTTTTTTTTAATTTTATTCTTAACCATCTCATGATATAACTGAAGCCAAGGAATTTAATTTCATGTATGCTTTTTTCCGAATCTAATCAGCAGTGCATTCATACAAAAATTGTTTTTCTCAAATATACTATGCTAGATATTCCAGAAGTTAAAATCATGAATATACGTACAAACTATGTAGCAGTCTTTAGACCATAATTTCATGGCCAGTGTATTTTTAATACAAGAACCTACAATCTGTATCCGTATCATATAGCAAAGGTGTTTTCATAAGTACGTTACACTAAACCACCTTACGCATAGCATTTAAAGTATCCATCAATCTTTAACAGAAACTTCACCTTTTAAACGTTACCTCAAATAAGATTGATCTGAGAACTATATCCCTGAACAAATGGACCATGATAATTTATACTACGCATCTTCCATGCCTAATCATCGTACTGTACCTTCAATGATCTTTAGGCAGTCTATCTTGCTGGGGTAGTTGTCAGGGTAGTTAGGGGAGTAGAACTCCATAAGACTTGGATATCCAACGGAGAACTTCCAGCAGGGGTTGGTGGGATCTTCCACCTCGTCTACCTCCTCCCCATCACCAGCTTGTCTCCTCACCAGTGACGTCATGGCAGTGTGCTTGGAGTTACCTGGAAACCCACCAAGACTTAAGTAAATCATAAAAGAACAATTTTTACTTAGACGTATTGTCCAAGTTAGTAATAAAATCCCAATTAAAAAATGTAATTAACATTAAGTTAGCGCTACTAAAACAATCATCCTAAGGTACTGTGTTACTGTACCAAGAAGTAGCCAATTTCTTATTCAAACAGAGCTAACAATATGTCACTCACAGAGTGTGCTATCGTCAAAACTCAATTTACTCTTTTAGTTTTTGATGATATGATATACCCTATAATCTGACTTGAAAAGTGCAAGAGTATTTATAAGCTTGTGTTTTAGCCCAAGGATATTGACACGTTTGTGAATTAGTCCACACGGAAAACTGTAATTTAGAGCAGCGGACTTTGTAATGGGCTTAATTCTAATAGGCCAATAATTATATTTTAAAACAGGATTTATCTTATACATGGGATAGGAATATAATTCTATCAATAGTCAAGGTGATACTTGGTGATACGCCGTTTACTTTTTGGAGAAACACAATTTAACCATAGTTTATTACATTTTTTGGGTATTATGGCAACTATTATAAATTTTAATAATTTTAATATTTATTACAGTTTTTAAATATTCAATACGTGATTGAAATTATTTTGATTTAGCTGTGAAATATGGTACATTTAATAAATATTTGTTAGTAAGGAGTATTAAATCGTCAAATGAATATTTTTTCATGGCAATTCAATCTGACATTAAATCTGCTTTATAAAGAGTATGTTAAACTTTCATCTGCAGTTTTAGAATAAAATTTATTGATAGTTGAATTGAGCTACTGACAGAGAGTGCCAGTAATCGATGTTCTTTTGTTATATTCACAAACTGTTACACACAACTAAACTATAAATCATACTGTAAATTTTAGCGTCACGTAAACAATATGAGGTGTCTTAAAAAAGGGAGTTAAGATTCACAGTGGCACACGGGACACACGGGTTTACTATCGTCCTTTGATTAAAATGGCTTCAGCTAACCGATATAGATGGGATTCTCACTCTAGTATTCACAACTAAAGTCTAGAACTATTTGTATAATAGCACTCAACTTAATTACCATTGAAGACAACGTAAGAGCAAAACTAAACGCAACACTTAAACTGGCAGAAGCTTTAGATCCTTTTCAGTACAATAAGATAGTTGAGAACAGCTGATGCTCAGCTGTTTATAGTAGACTGATTGGCGTATTGCCAGGTCTGCCAACAATGACACAATAAAGAGCGCAGATCCACAGACAGTTGGACAGGCAACTGGCACGGTTGCTATAGTAGAGATTGATGTGAACCACTCTAGTTTTGACCAGCATTGGCAATAGTGTTTTGAATGTAGTTTGAACGAAATTAATATATTAGCCGACTGTAGTTCGGAACAAATCAAGCAATTAGTAAAACAAACAAAACTAAATTTTTAGGTCTAACAATAGATCAAAATCTAAACTGGAACTCCCATGTACAAGAATTAATTGCTAAAATATCTTCAGGTGTCTTTGCCCTTAGTAGATTGCAGTATTTCTGTGAAACTGAAACCTTAAAACTAGTTTATTTTTCATATATACATTCAATAATATCGTATGGCATCTCCTTATATGGTTGTACAAGCTTAAATAACAAGTATACAATTCTGAAATATAAAAAAAGCGGTGAGGCGTATATTGAAACTTCCACGAAAAACACATGTAAAAGAATATTTTATTTCACTTAAAATAATACAGTCTATGGGATGCATATATATCAAACTATCATCCACTTCAAGGAAAGGGAACATACTCTAAAACCATTAGGAAGTACTCATGAATATAATACTAGAAATAGGAACAATATTGCAATACCCATACATAATTTGGAACTATTTAAAAATAAACCTAATTATGCAGGAGCATTATTTTTTTCCAAATTACCATTAACCTTAAGACAAGAGCCGAATCCAAGAATATTAAAAAAGAAACTTAAAGATTTTATAACCACTAAAGCATTGTATAATATACAAGAATTTCTTGACCCAGAGTTTAATTCAAAACCTTCTGGGACTTGAAGGGCTTTTGGATGTTTGGAATATTTTACTGCTTTCTTATTTTATTTACTATTGTTGTTTGTTTTGTTGAAAATCTCTATTGTAATAGTATAAATAGCCTTCTTTTTATAGTAAAAATTGTAGAAATAAGTTAAAAAACTGTTTAAGTTATAATAAAGAAGCACTTTTCGACACTGTTCAATGTACTGTAAATATGTACTAAAAGAATAAAGATTGTTTGAAATGAAATGAAATAGTTGAGTAGTTTTGATGAATCTTGATCTTGTTTAGCTGTACAATTTATTAATCTAAAAATAACAAATATACGTATGTTTTTGATCGTTAAGTATACATCTATATAAATAAATGTTTTACTATTCAAAAAGTATATCACGTTATATTCCAATGGTATAAAATACAACGAATACAATAATATAAAATGATTGTTATTCCACTAGGCCAACTGAACGTAAAATCTGCCATTTCTCTGTTGAGGCATCAATAAGTTTGTCGTTTCACGGAATTGAGCTCAGTCTGCTATTACAGCAAGGTTCTTATTTATTTATTATTATTAGTTATTTTTTTCAGTAAATGTACTCGTTTCACAAAGTATAGATACAGGGTGAGGCAATGAAAGCGCCCCAATTTATAAATAGTACTAACTCAATAATATTCGCCCTATATATATAAATAACACATCAAAACAGAGCATATCTTTTGCCATTTTAACTAAAAAAGTCATTTTTCCATTTATTGAAAGCAAAATCCAGTGACGTCCTTGTCCTACTTGACATTCCTTTTTAGTCAATTGAAAACTCCATCAAATACTCCTCCAGCATTTCTTCAGGAATCACTGAAGTTTTTTGACAATTCTTAGCTTCGGTTCAAGTAGCTTATCAGAATAACCCCCCCCCCCCCAAAAAAAAAAGATCCAGCTTTACGCTTTCAACAACAAAAACTTCCTGGCAAATCTTTTTATACTTCGAGTTACTGCTACACCTTCAACTTTTGCTGGTGTGCAAAGGGTTTTGCGGTACTCACCGATTATTTTTAAGTTTTAAGCTGTTATTCTAAATAACTTTACCAGGTTCACCATTTTCCAATCTGGAAACACTTAAAATTAAAAAATTAAAAAAAATGTTCTAAATAATTAAATTATCTATTGTCTCTTTAAATTTGGTTTTGCTTTGGGAATTATAGCATGGCGGAAGCATAATCTTAGTGCATTTCCTTGTTGTAACAGGAATTCTTTTAAGCATTTCACGATGCTCTAAAATTAAACGTAAAATTTTGTATTCCTAGAAAAACTTTTAAACACATATCCATTTATAAATTAACTATTTCCTATCCAGTTAATTTTAATGTCTAATAAATTTAAATTGTAAGGGTGAAAAGGTTTCACAAACAATTTTGCTGCTTATCAAAGCCGGAGGTTAACCATGTAAACACGGTCGGGAAACGAATGTAAGGCGAGTTATCTTGGGCCCATTTTTCACATTATGCGGCAACAATGGCGGATCGCAGGCCTGGAGGGACTTCCACGTATCCCGCCCAAATATTTTACCAACACGTAAAACAACCTGGCCCTGAGGGGTTGTATGGGAACTTTGATGTACGACATTCCATTTACGTTCCATTCTCAGGGCGTTAATAATACATTTACACATTCTCCTGGTCATGGAGGGTTACATATATTGGTAAAATAGCAATTTTTTAAATGCCTCAATGCCCTGAATGTCTTAATGTCTTAATAATCGCTTATACTGTTTTTATGTTTGTAATTAATAATTTGTTATTTGTTAAAATTATTGTTTACACTATTTATAAATCGTAATGGACAACATGCCATTAACAGATTTTAATGAGATCAGGATATTGATCAGTAATTATTGAGTGTTAATTGAGCAATAAAAACAGATAAAAATACTTTGATTTCAGATTATCAGATATTTTATTGTACTTTTCAATTGCTGGATACTTGTGACTTTCACTAACGTAAATGGTAATTAATCTTGTTTATAACAGACTCTGTACTAATGTTTAATACCAATGTTATACTAATGCTAATTTTTAGAAATATTAAGGTTTAAACGATCATTGTTGGTAATTGTAAGTGTGTCTTGTTCAAAAGATTATAAAATTTTTTTAAATGTTCATAATAATTAAAAACACAAGATTATGCCTTTATTACAGCAAATAAGCGTAAGATTTGTTATTGAATGACATATGTGAAACTTGTGGGTTATTAACCCCTGCTGACATTTAAATAGTACCAGGTAAATGCCCCACCAATATAAATCTGCTGTAACATTTTTATAACACAAAACATCGTCAAATAAGCCTCTGTTAAAGTTACCTACTGTAATCATTTACATCCAAAATGACATATTAGTTGGCTTTATTAGGATTGGCCTTGTTATTTTTAAGTTTACAAGAATTTTATCATTTGATCGTACTGACTCGGTATTGAGATTTATGAGGGAGTGGCAAAATATGAATTACCTATTTAACATGAACGAGATTATGTTAAAAGAACTGGAATACTGGTTGTTATAATAAATATTACATAGTTTCCATCTAATAATGGTGGTACTCTATTTCATATCAAATATCTAGTAATTCAATTCCTGTCATCAGGTGACTTTTTGGAATTTACAGACCGTATCGGTTAATTCAACTAAAATTGATAAACAGCTTTAAAACAAACTATTATGAAGGGGCATTCAAACAAATCCACACTTCATCTATGAATCTCTTCTGAGATCTTCTCTGAAATCTTCTCTTATCTTTTCTGAGATAATGTAATAAACATATTTTATCCGAAACAAAATTTAAAATTAGATTAGCAGCCTTAGATATTAGTCTCCTCTGTTCAAAGAGCATAGGCAAAGTTTAGGAACATTGTATGAATGACGGTTAAAAGAAAAATTGTGATCTTATGACAATTTCATTATGCAAGTCCA